GAAACAAAGTTGGCAAAATAGCATGTGAGGAAGGACTGTCTCATTTGACCATTTCGACAACCACTAAGGATAAGACAAGAATTTTGAAGGCAGTTAAAGGAGCGACTGGTATAAAATCAACAATTTTAACAAAGAACAGGCAACAGCCAGTCCACGAGATGAAGAAGGTATAGATAATTTGGATAGAAGACCAAATCCAGAAGAGGATTCCTAGGAGCTTACTGACAATTCAAATGAAAGCATGTAGGCTTTTCAAAAACCTGAAGAACAGCACGGAGAACACTACCAGGAGTACTTTACAGCAAGGCTGCTTTCATCGCTTCAAATGCAGATTTGACTTACATAACGTGCATATAACTGGAGAAGCAAGAAGCGTCAATGTTGAAGCTGCCAAAAAAATTCAAGGATGAGCTGGACAAGATAATACAAGGTGAAGAATATCTACCGGAGCAGATTTTCAATGTGGATGAAACAGGCTTGTTTTGGAAAAAAGATGCCAGAATGGACCTACAGTCACAAAGAAGCAAAGACAATGTCTGGTTTCAAGGCATTTAAAGACCGAAACTTGCTGCTGCTTGGAGGCAATGTTGCTGGATTTATAAAGATACCGCTAATAAAAGGCAATAATAATGAAAACTTAAACAAAAAAAAAAAAAAAAATGAGGTAGTTGATGTACGTCCGAACCGGCTTATGGCGGAGTTCTCCGAACGGAACCCCATTGTAAGTCAGGGACTACCTGTACGTCATATTTTGATATGGAAGATCACCCAGTCCAGTGTCTGAAAAACCACTGAGAATCACAGCCTAGCCAAGCTGACACGTAACACTAGCCATCACACCCTCCTTAGCTGCATTCACTACTGTGAATGAGTCGAGGATGGTTTAGTGACAACCTTCTATCTACATGTGGAGCTCTGTGACCTGTGTAACGCAGAAACGCTCACTGCAATCTGGCAAGGTGAATATTCTTCTTCCGGACCTTCCTTAGGAGTCCTTTGGAACAAGGTTGGGAGTCTCTGGGTAATGCACCCTCAGCTGCTAACAGTGAGGGTGGTGGTTGGAGTCCACCCAGAGGCACTTCTGAAGAAAGGCCTGATGATCTACTTCCGGAAAACCAGCCTTTGAAAACCGTATAGAGCACAGTTCTACTCTGACACACATGGGGTCACTATGACAGCAACTGGTTTGGTTTTCTTCTTTGGAATGAAGTTGGTCCCTGCCAGCTCTCTGCTGCCACCATCTGGATTCTTGAGAACTGTACTATTTCCATGAAATCAATGGAAAGACACCGGGCTCCTGGGTAAAAAGCAGTATTGTTGTTATTGGGTGCTGTCGAGTTGATTCTGACTCATGGAGACCCCATGTGACAGAGTAGAACTGCCCCACAGGGTTTTCTTGGCTGTAATTTATTTGTTTTGTGGTTGAGAATGTATGCAGCAAAGCATACACCAAGTCACCGATTTCTACATGTACAATTCAGTGACATTGATTACATTCTTCGAGTTGTACAACCATTCTGTCATGGACTGAATTATGTCCCCCCAAAAATTTGTGTAGCAATTTGGCTGGGCCACGATTCCCAGTATTGTGTGATTGTCCTCCATTTTGTGATTGCAATTTTATGTTAAAGAGGATTAGGGTGGGATTGTAACACCCTTTACTAAAGTTACATCCCTGATCCAATGAAAAGGGAGTTTCCCTAGGGTGTGGCCTGCATCACCTTTTGTCTTTTGTAAGAGATAAAAGGAAAGGGAAGCAGCAGAGAGTGGGGAACCTCATACCACCAAGAAAGCAGTGCCGGGAACAGAGTGCATCCTTTGGACCTGAGGTTCCTGTGCTCAGAAACTCCCAGACCAAGGAAAGATTGATGACATGGACCTTCCTCCAGAGCCGATGGAGAAAGCATTCCCCTGGAGCTGATGCCCTGAATTTGGACTTGTAGCCTACTGGACTGTGAGAGAATAAACTTTGTTAAAGCCATCCACTTGTGGTATTTCTGTTAAAGCAGCACCAGATGACTAAGACACATTCTCACCCTCCTTTTCTGAGTTGTTCTCCACCGTTAACACTCAGTGCCCCCTGAAGTTTCTATCTAATCTTTCTAGTTACTGTTGTCAATTTGATCCCATATAGTTTTGGCTGTAATCTTTACAGGAACAGATTGCCAGGTGTTTTTCCCACAGATCCACTGGGTGGGTTCAAACCCCCGACCGGCTGTCTAGCAGTGGAGCCTTAGCTATTGTGTCACCAGGGCTCCTTCACCTGGCTGTAGGGAAAGGTGTGAGGCGCGCCTAATCTTTGTGAAGGCACGATGCTCTGTCGCCACCTAGTGCCCATCATGGAAAATTCAAGAGAATTGCAGAGAAGCTGACAAGGAATCCTGAATTAAACCTGAAAATTCCTACCCAAAGGCTTATTATGTAAGATAATAAACTTCTATTTAGCCACCTTAGGTCAGGTATTCTGTTACTGGTAGCTTAAAGCTTCCAAACTGATATAAGTACAAACACCCCATACATACGTGTATACATACACACCCCACTGGTGCGGCGGTTAAATTCTCGGCTGCTAACTGAAAAGTCGGCAGTTCAAACCCACCAGCAGCTCTGTGGGAGAAAGATCTGGCGACAGGTTTTTTCTTACATAAAGATTACAGCCTAGAAAATCCTATGGAGCAGTTCTACTCTGTCCTATAGGGTTGCTGAGTTGGAAATCAACTTGATGGCAATGGGTTTGGGTTTTTTTGGTTTTAAGGGAATGGAGGAGTCCCCGGGTGGTGCAAACAGTTAACATGCTCTACTGCTAACCAAAAGGTTGCAGGTTTGAGTCCACCCAGAGGTGCCTCGGAAGAAATGCCTGGCAATCTACTTCTAAAAATTCAGCCATTGAAAACCGTGACACTTATGGGGGTGCCATGAGTAGATTCCAACTTGACAGTAACTGAATCTTTAACTAAAAAGACTGAAATAGTAAAGTGTTGTTAGGATTTAACCCAAGGATTCATGGTGGCTCCCTTACCTGCTCTGTACATGGTGCTCTGTATGTTGTATCGTCATATGTCCCACATGGGAGAAGGAAGACTGGGACTTCTCTAACTCAGAAGGGCTAACCATGGCACCCCTATATAGCCACCTCACACAAACCACCTCATACTGGGGCAATCCATAAGCAATGTGTTCCTGTTGTTAGGTTCCATCGAGTCTATTTCGGCTCATGGTAACCCCATGTGACAGGGTAGAACTGTCCTGTAGAGTTTTCTAGGCTAGAAAGGAGCCCTGGTGGTGCAGTGGTTAAGCCCTCAGCTGCTAACCCAAAGGTCAGTGGCTCAAACCCACCGCTGCTCTGTGGGAGAAAGATGTGGCAGTCTGCTTCCTTAAAGATTACAGTCTTGGAACCCTACAGGGTAGTTCTACTCTGTCCTATAGGGTCACTATGTGTCGGAATTAATCTATAGGAGCAGATTGCCAGATCTTTCTACTGCGGAGCTGCTGGGTGGGTTCAAATCATCAACCTTTATGTTAGCAGCCAAGCACTTCACTACTGTGCCACCAGGACTCCTTTCATCATGGATTTAAAAAATTAAATAAATTAATAATTAAATTAAAATTTTTAAATTAAATTTTAAATTAAATAAATTAAAAAGTAAGGAAAAATCCATATTGGTAAGAATATAAGAAGTTCTCATTCTCCTAGGAACAGACTAAATGTCTGTAGCCATGGTAGCAAGAAACCACCCAACCAGGTTTAAACCCATTCAATGGATCCAAGACAATTTTCTTCAATGAACATGTTTCTACAGGCCAACCAATGACTGCCCTTTGCTTCTGAAATTCAGCCAATCAGGAAAGGATTCACTCCTATGGACACACTTGTGAAAGCCAATCAAGTTTCACCTGAGTAACCAGAAGTCAGAAACCCTTGGGGCAAAATGATTAAGTGCTGGGCTGTTAATCAAAAGGTTGGTGGTTCAAACTCACCCAGCAGTTCCATGGGAAAAAGACATGGCAATCTGCTCCCGTAAACATTACAGCCTAGAAAATCCTATGGGGCAGTTCTACTGTGTCACATGGGGGTCCCTATGAGTCAAAAATTGACTCCACGGCACCTAAAAACAATAAACAGATGTCAGCTCACTTAAACCCTGAAGGTTTTCCAATCCCTGAACTCCACACTTTCCAAAAATCCTACAAAAGATCAGCAGTCTGCCCTGCTCAGAGAGACTTTGATGGGCCAGCATAGCTCTTTACTGTGCTAAGTAATAAATTCAGCTTTGGGTTTATATTTCAGATATTGAGTGATGGTCTCATCGGCCTTTGGCATTTGGTTACGTGCTTTTTTTTCAGCACCTACAGGGTATGTATTAAAATTGGGGGACCACTGGGTGGCACAAACCATTTATACTGGGCTGCTAACCTAAAGGTTGATGGTTCAAACACACCCAGAGGCACTGCGGAAGAAAGACTAGGTGATCTGCTTCTGTAAAGTATAAAAACCAAAAAACCAAACCCACTGGAGGCTTATGGTGACCGCAGGTGTTATAGCTAAGAAAACCTTATGGAACACAGTTCTACTCTGTAACACACGGGGTCACTGTGAGTTGGAATTGACTTGACGGCAACGGGTTTTTTTGTTTTGTTTTCTGAAGACCTAAGTCCCCTCATCCTTTGGCTTTTGAATCATGTCCCCATTGGTCAAGAAGGCCACTTAATACTTTTTCAAGATGCTCTCAGTGTTTATTTTACTTAATTCTCTATATATGCCCTGAGGTAGAACAGACATTCCATAGATGCTGAGGTTCTATGACTTGAAAGTCACAAACCTAAGTCAGAAGCAAACGTTGCCTTGAACATGGAAGAATCACTACCATCAAGGGGTCTTTGTGAGAATCAGAAATCACTTTCCACCTTTGAGAAGGAACTCCTGGGAATGGCTTGCCCCGAGAAAACGGCTCTAAAGTTCCTCCAGCAGAATAGTTGTGAGTGGGAGGGTTTTCATGTCTTCAGTGTTGCCACCAATACCGGTCATCTTGGTCAAAAGAATACCAATTACCGTCAATCACAATTTTGGGCTTCACCCTTTTCAACTCCTCTAGCAGATTCCTTGTTTGCTCAGTATAGTGCCCTCTCCACAGCCTGGGGAGGAAGAAAGGGGACTTATTACTCTAGGATTGTGCTTTTGACTCTTCTTCCTTCCTCATAGCACCTGGAGTCCCCACCAAGGACATCAAACCTTTTCTCGTTCTCTTGAGGAATCTGTTCCCCATAGAATATAAGTAAATCCTTACACATAAAGGAACTCTAGGTGTGACAGGTACTATGCTGAACTTTATAGGCACCTCCTGCTCACAACAATCCTAGGAGGCAGGCATGATTATTCATCCATCTATCCATCCACTCCTTCCTGAGAACTTACTCTGTTCCAGGTCCTGTTACAGGGTTTAGAGGTATAGTGATGAACAAGGCAAAGTCCTAACGCTCATGAAACTTATATTCTAGTAGGACACAAGTATTTAAATAGACACATAGCACTGTACCCATTTTACAGATAAACAGTAAAAAAAAAAAAATTAAAAATCCAGGTCTGACTGTTCTACACCACTTCAGTGACCAAGTCCTATGGTTACAACTTCGATTTTGTCAGAGACTATACAGTCTTATGAGTCATCAGTACAAATATGTTCTCCTTCAACCCAACATTCTGCCTTTTCAGCTTATTTGCTCAGGTGGCCACTGTAAGAGTTTTCCTGGGCTGTATCCAGATCTCCAAATCCACTGAGTCATGCTTTCCAATCCATCTGTACCCTTCTGCCTTCTCTTTTCTCCCTATGCCCCTCAGATCCAACGGTCCACCACTATAATCGCCCCAGTGTTCTTTCTGGCAAAAACTTCAAGTTTGACAAAACTTGAACCCTAGGTAAATCCAACCGCTAAGCTGGACCGTACAGGAGAAAACAGTTAAATCAACTTGGATGTTTGCCATTGACATAAATACCCCATCACCAGCCAAAAGTGGGTTTTCAATCTTATGTTTCTCCAGTCAAGTCTTTATTTCTCTCAATTATAACTATACTTCTTCACTCTTGGGAATGACTTTTACTTCTATTTTTCCTACAGATATGAGATATTAAATAACAAATACATTTCTACCATCAAACATAGAAATCACAAGGAGTCCCTGGCTTGGTGCAAATGGTTAAGTGCTAGGCAACTAACCAAACCCACCCGGAGGTGCATTAGAAGAAAGGCCTGGCAATCTATTTCTGAAAGGTTACAGCCTTGAAAACCCTGTGGAGCACAGTTCTACTCTACACACATGGCGTTGCCATGAGTAGGAATTGACTCAATGGCACGCAACAACAATAACAACAGTAATCCCAAATATTTTATTTGTATGTTGTCTCTCCACCCACCCAATCGTCAGCTCCATGACATCAGGCACCACCGTGCCTCCACCTCTCAGATCCCTGTCTCCCCAGATCTAGCAGAGTAGCCAGAACACAGTCGACACTCACTGGTTGAATAAACCCCAGGTAGTCCATCCACAATTTCAGCTGACCCGATAAACCACCATGCCTGTGAGAGAATCAGGTTTGCATGGCAGCAGATAATCACCAGGGACTTACCCGATTATTTGTAGATTAGATTTGGGACATGCAGAGGCTGAACACAGTTTACTTAGTCCTGAAGGGTCGAGATGATTCTGCATCAGGTTTAGACTGGTCAGGCTCTGGTTGTGGTAGATGGCCGAGGAGAGCTCCTCACAGCAATCAGAAGTCAACCCACATGCCTCCAACCTGAAGGGTGAGACCACCATCAAAATAACCCCAAAGCCAAGGTGGATGGATGAACCCCTGAAACTACTGCCCTGAGAAGATCTTTAAACTTTAAACCAAAAATATCCCTGGAAGCCTTCTTAAAACCAAACGATAGTTTGGCTTAACTAGAAAAATGTATACCTTGAGCATTGTGCTCTTTTAAGATCTATCTATACAGGATCAAATGGACAACCGCAACTCAGAAGATTAGATAGGAATCTTAGGGGGCAGTGAGTTTATGTTAATGGGGGAGGAACAACTTAGAAAAGGAGGGTGAGAATGGTTGCACAATTCAAAGAATGTGATTTATGTCACTGAATTGTACATATAGGAACTGTTGAATTGGTATATGTTCTGCTGTGTATATTCTCAACAACAAAATAAATTTTAAAAAAAAGTAAAGAAAGAACCCCAAAGATCCATTATCAATCCTTCATTCAACCAACATGAGCCGGAAACTAGGTGTTGGCACTACGATAGTCCTGTGAGATGCAAACCAGGCAGATATGCTAAGAAACCTCTAGAACTCACTCAATCAGCAATAAGTCAACTCCAACCCATGGTGCCCCCATGTGTGTCAGAGCAGAACTGCGTTCCATAGGGTTTCTAATGGCTGATCTTTTGGAAGTAGATAGCCAGGCCTTTCTTCCCTGGCACCTCTGAGTAGCTTCAAAACTGCCAACCTTTCGGTTAGTAGCTTAGTGCAAACAGTTTGCACCATGCAGAGACCTCCCATATCACTATTGTTGTTGGGTGCCGTCAAGTTGATTCCGATTCATATTGACCCACATGTCCGAGTAGAACTGCCTCATAGGTTTTCCCAGGCTATAATCTTTATGGAAGCAGATCACCAGGTCTTTCTCTCTCAGAGCCACTGGGTAGGTTTGAACTGCCAACCTTTTGGTTCACAGCCAAGCACTTAACCACTGGCCACCAGGGCTCCTACCCATGACACTAGGGGTGGCAATATTCCTGTTTTGTTGTCAAGGGACTTAATTGGAGGCCGATTTCCCTGTCACACACCATCATCGTGACTTCAATTCCCTCATCCACTCAGCTTTTATCTACCCTGTCACCTCCTATCTTTACTTCAAAAACATCCTATCATTTTTAACAGTCAATTTTGTGTGTCCACTTGGCTAGGCTCTGGTGTCCAGCTGTTTGGTCAAACACGAGTCTAGTTGCTGTTATAAAGCAGTTACATGGAATTAAGTTAGTTGGCCCTAAATAAAGCTGATCACCTTCCATAATGTGGGTGGGCCTCATCCAATTAGTTGAAGCCTTTAGAGCAAAAAGAGATTTCCTTAGGGTGTGTTCCGTCTCTAGACTTGTTATTGTTGTTAGGTGCCGTGAAGTTGATTTCAACTCATAGCAACCCTATAGGACAGAGCAGAACTGCCCCACAGGATTTTCTTCACTGTAATCTTTATGAGAAGGAGCCCTAGTGGTACAGTGGTTAAGCACTCAGCTACTAACTGAAAGGTTGATTGTTTGAACCCAGCCAGTGGCTCCGCGGGAGAAAAGACCTGGCAATCCACACCTGTAAAGATTACAGTCTAAGAAACCCTTTGGGGCAATTCTACTCTGTCACATGGGGTTCACTGTGTATCAAAATTGTCTTGACAACACCCAGCAACAATCTTCACAGAAGCAGATTGCTAGGTCTTTCTCCCACAGAGCCGCTGGGTAGGTTTGACTATAAGTAGAAACTTTGTCATAACACCCTTACTCTTCACTCTTTCTGTTGCCTGACCTACGGATCTTGGACTTGCCAGCTCTCCTCTCCTCCGGTAATGCAAGCCAATTCCGTGAAGCAAATCACTCTCAAAATGTTCTTTGGCTTTCCAATGTTCTTAGGATAAAATCTCACATCTTTACTCTAACCTAAAATGTCTTTCCTTCTTTCCCAGCCTCATCTCATACCACAGTCTCTGATCAAATGTGCTCTCTCCTTCCACAAGGGTGGCATACGTGCAGTTTCTTAACCATATATCAATACCTAAGTTTACTTCTAAGGCACCCTGGTGGCGCAACGGTTAAGCACTCAGCTGCTAAACCAAAGGTTGATGGTTCAAATCCACTCAGTGGCTTTTTGGGAGAAAGACCTGGCAATCTGCTCCCCTAAAGATTGCAGCCTTGGAAACCCTATGGGGCAGCTCCACTCTGTCCTATAGCGTTGCAATGAGTCGGAATCAACTCGCTGGCACACAACAACTTGCTTTTGTCCCTCTTTCTCACTACACCATCTATGCTGCACCAAGAGACCTCGTTATTCACCTATGTATTTATTTCCATCATTTAGCACCATACCTACCACATACATATTAATATTATTTATTGGGTGTTTACTATAAATATTAATATTTATTTATTGAGTGCTGACCTTGAGGTTTACCCTGTCCCCTGCCTTCAGGGAGTTCCTGGGCGGTACAAACTTAACGAGCTCAGCTGTTAACCAAAAGGTTGGAGGTTGGAGTTTATTCAGATGCACCCAGGAAGAAAGCCCTGGGATCTGCCTCGGAGAAATCAGCCATCGAAAACCTTATGAACACAGTTTCACTAATACACTTGGGGCACCGTGAGTTGGAGCAGACTTGAGGCAACTGGTTTTTTTTGGTTACTACCTCAAGGCCCTGTTCTCAAGCATTTGCTGTTTCATTCATTCCACATATAGGAGCTGAGCTGGCATTTGTGCCCACGTATGTGGTTCTGCAAAAGTTTGATTCTAATTGAACTGAGTTGTATAAATGAGAACATCGTTCAAACGACTGTATGCCCTCTCTTCTATGCACAGCCCCGCCCCCTCCCTTCGTCTCCTTCCTTCTGTGCATGGCTCCACCTTGCACCCGGTCCACAAAACCTCACCCTCAGAGCCTCACACGCATCGCCTCACCCGAGCCTCTTCAAAGAGCTGTGCTTGTGTTTCAACCCCTTGCACAGCAGCACAGCCCCGCTGTCCCCCAGGGCATTGTAGGCAAGATCCAGGCTCTTCAGGTGTGGGTTTCTTGCGATCACACAGGACAGATCTTCACAGCAAGCAGGTGTGAGCTGGCACCTCACCAACCTGCAAGAGACACAGAGGAGGAGGTGACTCCCGCGCCTCTGGAGAGAGTGCACAGAAATACTCATGGGATGTCCTTTATCCCTTCCTAACGGGGACTTTAAGGAGCACTGGTGGCACAGTGGTTAAGCACTTGGCTGCTCTGCTAGCTGCTAACTGAAAGGTCAGTGGTTAGAACCCACCCAGTGGCTCTGCGCGAGAAAAGACCTAGCGAATTCCTTCTGTAAGGATGACAGCCTAGGAAACCCTGGGGGCAGTTCTGCTTAGTCACATAGAGTTGCCATGAGCTGGAATTTATCGCAATGGCACCTAATGAAAGCAACAGCAAGGGAGTCAAAAGTCACAACCAGCCACTGGGACTCTCAATAACTTGTCAAGTGGAGTAGCTATCTAAGTGGCTACTGCTCCAACCTATCCGTCACAAGTTTCTTTCTTTTTTTTCAGTCACAAGTTTTAATCACACCTTCAAGTCTGAGGAAGGCTGGTTCCCCAAAATAGTACCAGAAATCCCGTTGATGAGGCAAAGCTGAATATATTCTTACCCCAGTAATGGAGGGCACAACCCTGACAGTTGAAGTAACCGTGGTGGCACAGTGGTTAAGTGCTCAGCTGCTAACTGGTGGTTTGAACCCACCAGCAGCTCCTCAGGAGAAAGACCTGGTGATCTGCTCCTATAAAGATTACAGCTTAGGAAACTCTATGGGGCAGTTCTACTCTGTCACATGGGCTTGCTATGAGTCAGAATTGACTGGATGGCACACAGCTATGGGGTCTTTCCACCCGTTCCTAGATGGAACCATTCAGACTGTATGACACTTGGTAGCTGTGGCAAGAAATGATGGCCAAAAGTGGGGAACAATGTGAGGTGCTTCATTTGGAAAAAGACGAAGACATCAGCACTGGCTTCTACCTGGAGGTGGGATGAAGAGTCTTCACGGAGGAGCAGGAGAGAGATGGAAGGAGCCTGAGTGAGTAGAAGTTGGTGGCATTCCTGACAAAGGGATGCCCGAGAGGGAGAGAAACGATGATAGAATGTTCCAGAAACACTGGATAGGTGTCAGGATCCAACAGTAGAGAGGTCTCATGTCCCGTATCCCCGGTAGAGCTGGAGAGTGGGGAGTGGAAATGGCCCCACAGTAATGGCAGATGGGTCATCTGAGTAGAAAAGAATGAAATAGCCCCGGAGTCCCATATCCTAGCTCAGGATGCTGAGACTAGAATGATCCATTGGGGCTGAGAGAGCCCGGCCCAATGATGCCCTTGGGTCAAGAATGAGGGCTCATACCTGAAAACCAGGTGGCCATGGCCAAGTCTTAGGTGCCAGCTTGAATGAATGACGATAGTGAGACCCAGGTAATCTCCCCTGCAGTGTCCTCACTCGAGAGTTCTCTAGAACGCAAACGCAACCCCAAAGAAAAGGGCATCTCCAGTTGACTAAGATTAAGCTCCTATACTATGCAAGAATAGGGCTTGAAACGTATTTTAATTAAAACAAAGAGAGGAATTAATATTTGGGGGCAATCAGGTTGAATGGGCCATAATCTATATCCAAATCTCCTAGTTATTACTGGGAAAGGAAAGATCTCCTTTTTGGTCCATTCTACCCGTTTTCATTGATCATACGAAAACACTACCAAGTTCACAAAGATTTATAAGGTATATATGAGTAAAACATTAGACATAAACTAAGTGTTCAGCTTTAGGGGATTTTTAAAATTATGGTGCACCATTAAGTGGCACACCATACCATGCTTCATTTTTTATTACGATTATATTTGTGGATCCTCAAGAGGAGGATGTGAGACCAAAGCCACTTGTGTTCTGGTTCCTTGAGAGTTCTAGTTCCCTACATGTATAATCGACAGAGGATTACATGAGACTAAAACCAATTGCCATTGAGCTGATCTCAACTCATGGTGACCCTGTGTGTGACAGACTAGAACTGTGCTCCATAGGGTTTTCAATGGCTGATTTTTTTAATATTTAATTTTTATTTTTTTTTATTGAACTTTAGATAAAGGTTTATAGAACAAACCAGCTTCTCATTAAACAGTTAGTACATATATTGTTTTATGGCATTGGTTAACAACCCCATGACATGTCAGTACTCTCCCTTCTCAACCTTGAGTTCCTTATTACCAGCTTTCCTGTCCCCTCCTGCCTTCTGGTCCTTGCCCCTGAGCTGGTGTGCCCCCTTTAGTCTCATTTTGTCCTACGGGTCTGTCTAATCTTTGGCTAAAAGGTAAACCTCTGGAGTGACTTCACTACTGGGCTAAAAGGGTGTCTGGGGGCCTCAATGGCTGATTTTTTTGGAAGTAGAATGCCAGTCCTTTCTTTCTAGGTGCCTCTGGGTGGACTTGAACCTCCAACCTTTCAGTTAACAGCCAAGTGTGTTAACCATTTGCACCACCCAGAGACTCCCAGGTGAGATTAGACATGCAAAATATTTAGAGCCCTGACTGCCGCATGGTAAGAATACAATAAGCAGTAGTTACTAGGATCCCATCTTTGTAAAACATTAGACATGTTATGCATCCAGGAAAAAAATCCCAGGAAGACATTTGCCAAAATATTAACAGTGGCTGCTGCTTGGTTGTGGGATTGTAGATTTCTGCTTACCGAAATCTTTTCATTTTCCTGCAATCTGTTTAATGATAGAATAATTCTATTAAATAGAATTATTAAAACAAGGGTTGAAGGAGTTTGAGGCTCAGAGAGAAAAAGGAGTAAGAGATAGACCCCCTCCACCTTACATACAAAAAAAAAAAGCTCTAAAGTAACTAAGGGCAAGAAGAACTCCTGAGTTTTAGGGATCAAAGGTGACGTGAAACTCCGTAGTTTCTGCTACGAGGCTTCTGTTCAGAATTTCTCTGCCCTTCCCACACTCACTGTGGCGTCAACACATCAACTTACCTCTGGAAAATGAGCATCAGTTGACCCTGGAACCAGTTTTTGGTTCTGACCTTCCTCCTCACTTCTCTTGACCTTCTAGGAACCCCGGGTCCTGTTATGGTGGACTCAACTCATGACAACCAAAGGAGCCCTGGTGGCACAATGGTTAAGCACTTGGCTGCTAACCAAAAAGTTGGCGGTTTGAACCTACCAGTGGCTCTGCGGGAGAAAGTGGCTCTGAGGGAGAAGGACTTGGCAATCTGCTCCCATAAAGATTACAGCCTAGGAAACCCTATGGGGCAGTTCTACTCTATCACATGGGGTTGCTATGAGTCGGAATTGACTTGACAGCACCTAACGGTAACAACATAGGACACTTACTCTAGGTCCTGGAGGTAACAAGATGGTTCCTTCATGACTTCACACAGCATCTTTATCCCATTGTCTTCCAGGGGGTTCATGCTGAGGGTCAGATGTGTCAGTCTTCTGTTTTTCATGAGTGCAAACGCAAGATAGCCACAGCTGGTTACATCCAAGTTGCACTGACTTAGTCTGTAGGACACACACAAGGGAAGGAAGAGGCTTACATTCATTTCTAGGTGTCAGTTGGGGTAAGTGATTTCTTGGCCTCACTTCAGTTTGCTCCTTTGTAGAAGAGGTGGTATTTAAGATGGTGGTAAAGCTTAAATAGGAGCCCTTGTGGCACAATGGTTAAGCACTCGGCTGTTAACTGAAAGGTCTATGGTTTAAACCCACCAGTTGCTCCGAGGGAGAAAGACCTGATGACCTGCTTCTATGAAGATTACAGCTTAGGAAAACTTATGGGGCAGTTCTACTCTGTCCTGTAAGGTCACTGTGAGTTGGAATCGACTTGATAGCACATGGCGCACACACCACCACCACCACCACCACCACCAGGCTTAAATGACAGGGTATTCCTAAAGTATGTGGCACAGTGCTTGGCAGAGCGCAAGATTCTCTGATCTCTGTTTTCAATTTTCCTTCATACTTCCATGTGTTAGTTTCCTATGGCTGCTGTAACAAATTACCACAAGTTTGGTGGTTTAAGACACAAATTTATAGTGCTGGAGGTCAGAAGTTCAACACAGGTCTCACTGAGCTGAAATTAAGGTGTCAGCAGGGCTGTGCTCCTTCTGGAAGCTCTAGGGGAGAAGAGAATGTTTCCTTTCCAGCTTTTAGAAGCTGCCTGCATTCCTTACTGCCCAGACAGCAATCTCTTCACTCTGACTTCTGCTTCTATCACTGCATTGGTCTCAGCTCTGATCCTCCTGCCTCCTTCCTTCCCTTCTGAGGAACCCTGTGATTACACTGGGCCATCTGGATCATCTGGGATCATCTCCTCACCATACGATCCTTGATTCACTCACATCCACAAAGTCCTTTTTGCCATGTAAGACCACATGTTCACAGGTTCCGGGGATTAGGACGTGGTCACCTTTGGAGGACCATTAATCTGCCTGCCATACTCAGCATTTCCTATCTCTCTTTCACCAGGGAACCTTGGGGCTCTTCAGACGGTAGAGACATACTTGAAGGTTATATTCTTTAACAGATGTTCTGGCTATACCTATTTCCATCAAGTCGATTCTGACTCATAGCAACCCTACAGGACAGGGTAGAACTGCCCCATAGGGTTTCCTAGGCTGTAATCTTTATGGAAGCAGACTGCCACATCTTTCTCCTGTGGAGTGGCCAGTGGGTTCGAACCACTGACCTTTCGATTAGCAGCCGAGTGCTTTACCATTGTACCACCAGGGCTTCTTTTCTGGCTATAGGTATACATTAACCCATGCATGCTTTTCATTCTTATGAAGTTATTGGTAGACAAATTCATCAAGGGAGAATGAAGTGACAGAAAGCAAAGTGACCCCAGTGTAGTATGGAGAGTAAGTTAACAGTACTCAATAGGAAAAACAGAAGTCTCTCGTTCTCCCTGTCAAGCCAAAGATTTATCACAGAGGGGTAATCTGACAACACAAGAGGGCTTTTTTTTTTTTTTTTAAATAGTACTAGGGCTACCTTAAAAGGAGCCCTGGTGGTACAGTGGCTAAGTGTTCGGCTGCTAACTGAAAGGTTGGTGGTTTGAACCCACCAGCTGCTCCATGGGAGAAAGATGTGGCGTCTGCTTCTGTAAAGATTACAGGCTAGGAAACCCTATGGGGCAGCTCCACTCCATCCTATAGGGTCGCTACGAGTCAGAATCAACTCGACACCAATGGGTATAATGAGTGGGGCCACCTCGCACGATGGCCATAGGATATGTTCACAGCATAGTCTGTGTGTGGCGTTCCCTGGAGTTGTGCAACCCACAGTCAGTATAACTGGGTGTTGGCCCCGTATCACCCTTATCACCATCTGAAAATATCATTCATTCATTTCTTATCTAATCCATCCCCACCCAGAATTTAAGTTATGTGAAAGTAGGGACTGCCATCTGTCTTTCATCTCCATATTCCTAGCACCCAACAGTGGTTGCCTGTAGTAGGTGGTTAATAAACATTTGAATGAACAAAGACTTCCCACTGTAGGGAAACACAAGGCAGAGATGGGATCTTCCAAGAAAGGGGGGACTCTGAGAGATGATGAACAGGGGCAGGACTTGGCACTGATCAGGTCCCTTTGTCATAACTCTCTCCATGCCCCCTATTGCTTTGCACTTTGAGACTGACACTGCTGTGTTTGTTAGACAGCTAGGAAGTCCCCACAGGGAGAGGTCTCAGACTCACACCAGCCTCTTTAGACCACAGTTGGGGTTTTTTATGGCTCCACACAACAGTTTCACGCCTTCACTCCCCAGGTTGTTGTCCGACAAGCACAGGTGAGTCAGGTTCTGGTTGGTGAAGAGGGCCAAGGCCAGGTCTTCGCAGCCAGCAGCCGTGAGGCCACAGTTCCCCAGTCTGCAGGAAGAGAGCCCCAGAAAGGGCATGATGAGGTCTGTTCTTAAAAGTTTCAGCTTGCCTTCCCTTGTAAGGAAGGGAAAGAAACGTCACTCGCATATAGATGATTTCACATTATGCCTGCCTTTAACTTGTAAACTCAAATACTTCGGCCCCAAATTAGCACACTAAATATATGGTAAAAACCTGCGAAAGCCACAACCTGTGCAAGGCAGAAACCTGTCAGAGAAGGAAAATTATTTTCCATTAAAACAAATGACAGGGAAGTGGTAAGACTGCACCCTGTCAAAGGTGGAAAACTTGCAAGACCTGGAAAAACAAGGCAGTCCTAATGAGTTTGGGCTCCCACAGGTTTCACTGTAGTACCTCTCTCATGTTACTCATTTAACCATTACAAAGCTAAATGGATTAACACATGCAAAATGATTAGGCCAGTACATTGCATATTGTAGCTGTTAGGTGTCGTTGAGTTGGTTCTGACACATAGCGACCCTGTGTACAACAGAATGAAACACTGCCCGGTCCTGTGCATCCTTACAATAGTTGCTATGTTTGAGCCTGTTGCTGTAGCCACTGTTGTCAAAGCTATCTTAATGAGGGTCTTCCTCTTTTTCGCTGACCTTCTACTGTACCAAGCATGATGTCCTTCTCCGGGGACTGGTCCCTCCTGATAACATGTCCAACGTAAGTGAGATGAAGTTAGCTGCCGCCAAGCCTGCCACAACTCATGGTGACCCCATGCACAATCTAACAAAACTCCACCTGGTCCTGCATCATCCTCGTGATTGGTTGTGATTAGACAATTGTACTTCATAGGGTTTTCATTGGCCGTGTTTTGGAAGTAGATTGCCAGGCCCTTCTTCCTAGTCTGTCTTAGTCTGGAAGCTCCGCTGACACCTGTTTAGCATCACAGCAACACGCAAGCCTCCACTGACAGACAGGTGGTGGCTGCACAGGAGGTGCATTGGCTGGGAACCAAACTCACGTCTCCAGCATAGAAGTTGAGAATTCTACCACTGAACTAGCAAGCACATACTCAATATTATTGACAGCAATCTATTGACAGCAATCTCTTCCAATGCAGGAAGAAACACTAGCTGAGTGGGACTGATAGAGCGTATGTTGGCCTCTAATGTGGTACCCCATCCTGGGTTTTTAAAGCGTAATTTGTGCTGTTTGGTTTTCCACTTTTGGTCTGACTTGAGACCCAAACTCCTGCTGAAGGTAGGGTACCAATGCCTCATTTGCCCGGACTGTGGGACACCCAGGAGGAAATTCCAAGGTAATAGCTCAGTTCCTTAGGCATTAAATAGGAGCCCATGTTTTGGCTTTGCCCTTTACTAGTTATATGACCTTGGAGACTTCCCTTCTTTTTTGGGATTCTATTTTCCTTATCAGTAAACTGGGAATGAAAAATAACCCCTACTTTATGGGTTGGTTGTGAAGATGGTGTTAATGGGAACAGAGCACTTAGCATAGAGCCCAGTGCTCAAGAATGCCATAGATGGCAGCTCTAACCAACCACAACCTATGACTTTCACCCCGGCTTTAAGATACAAAGGGAAAGATTTTTAAAAATATTGGATGGAAAGAATTGAGGATATAAAATGAATGGAACCCAGAGAAAAGTAGCATTAAGAATTTATTCTTTAATGCTCCAGAGTAAATAGGGCATTGAATGATATAACTCAATTTATATAGCCGACTCTGAGTACTTTGGGCAGTTTAACCCCTTTTCTGATAATTCAAAAAAAAAAAAAGGGCAGCTGAAAGAGGTTTAAGAGCAAGGCCTAGAAATTTCTGCGATGGTGGAAGTGTTCTATGTCTGCGCTCTCCAATGTGGCAGCCACTGTCCACATGGCTATTAACACTCAGAAGGAGCCCTGGTGGCGCAGTGATTAAGTGCTAGGCTGTTAACTGAAAGGTCGGTGGTGATTTGAACTCCCCAACTGCTCTGCAGGAGAAAGATGTGGTAGTCTGCTTCCTTAAAGGTTACAGCCTTAGAAACCCTATGGGGCAGTTCTGCTCTGTCGCATAGAGTCACTATCAGTTGGAATCGACTCGATGGCAACGGGTTTATCAACACTCAGCTTGTGGCTAGAGCAACTGAGAAACTGAAGTTTTAACTTCATTTAATTTCTTAATTTAAATCTAAATAGCCACATATGGCTAGTAGTTACCCTAGTGGACAGTGTAGTCACCACCCTCAACTAGATGTAAACTGGAGGCCCGTGGGCTAAACAGGACTCACAGTTTTATCTGGTTTGGACTGTAAGGTCTTTTTTCTTTTTCTTTTTTTATGCTAGAGTTAGTGAAAAATATTTAAAATGCCAGAAAATTCACAAAAAATTCAAGTTTCCAGGTGCACTTGTAAAAAGTCTACAGATGCAGCAACAATCCACTGGAACAGAGAAAGAATCTACTTTCTTCAGAACACACCCAGTGATCCAACAACTCTGATGTTAGGCCCAGATTAAAGATCCCCTAGAGCTGTGCTGTCCAGTCCAGTAGACGGTAGGCACACGTGGATATTGAGCACTAGACATGTGGCTTGTGTGACCAAGGAACTGGATTTTATATTTAAATTTAACAGCCACAGTGGCTAGTGGCTACCATATTGGATGGCACAGCTCTGGAGAATCAGCTGTGACTCTGAATCCCAGCTTCACCACTTGATAATGGCCCAAACTTGGTCAAGTGATTTAGCCTTTCAAAAACCTTGTCTCCTCATTTATCAATAGAGTTAGCAAGGTTAGTAACTAGCGACGTCAGTTAGTAAGCTATACCCTACTGCCTAGACCTGTTTTGAGAACTAAGTGAGACACGTATGGGAAAGTTTTAGCACTGTACTTGGCACAGCTCAATAAATGCTTAATAAATGATTGTTATAATTGCTACTTCTTGTCCCCTCCCCCCCATCCATCTTAATCCATTGCCCTAGAGTCAACTTTGACTCATAATGACACTGTAGGGGCAGAGCAGAACTTCAGGAATCTTTACTGAAGCAGATTGCTGGGTCTTTCTTCCAAGGAGCCGCTAGGTGGGTTCGAACCACTGACCTTTTGGTTAGCATCCAAATGCTTAACCACTGCACTACCAGGGCTCCTTTCTACCATCATAGGATAAGTTATCAGCAAAAAAGCTACATCCCCTAGTGCCATTAGCTGTGCGGGATGGGGAACTATCACCCCCTTGTGTTTCCACATTGAAGAATTTATGCTGGAATCACATTCCTGGACCTTTCTCTACTCCTCACTCTCTCTTCTCCACAGGAGGAGGTGGGAGTTATCCAATTCATCAGTTTGGAAGTTGCTTTGCCCAGACGCTCCTGCTTTGTGAGCCAGGCTGCGCCCAGAATGCGCGTACTGTGGTCTGAACTCAGCCAGGCCATAAGGAAGTGCCCCCATGAAGGAGGCTTGGTGTGTATAGCTCTTTTAATGCCTAGGAGGGGTCATTCTTTCCAGTTATGGTATCAAGCATTAACCAACCCGTTTGGCCACACATCTAAGTCATGCTCCAAGAGAACTTTATCAGTGAGAAAACTGCAGCCCCTTTTTGTGAGTTCCATCTGGCTGACTCCTGCTTCTATCCGTCACATTAGTTCAGAGCGCAGTAGCAAAGATACAGGTGTTACTGAGCCTTCTTTGAACCTCAGTATTGGGGCACCCCCATAAGGTCACAACTCCCATTCTAACCCTTGACTTCTGTATCATTTTTTTTTAAGTGTTAAAAAGCAAAGATGTCACTTTGAGGACTAAGGTGTGCCTGACCCAAGCCATGGTATTTTCACTCGCCTCATTTGCATGAGAAAGATGAACAATGAATAAGGAAGACTGAAGAATTGATGCCTTTGAATTATGGTGTTGGGGAAGAATATTGAGTATATCAGAGACTGCCAGAAGAACGAATGAGTACATGAAAAAGTACAGCCAGAACAGAATCCTCCTTAGAAGTGAGGATGGCGAGACTTGTCTCATGTACTTCAGATGTGTCATCAGGAGGAACCAGTCCCTGGAGAAGGACATCATGTTTGGTAAAGTAGGAGAAAAAAATCCATTGCTGTAGAGTCGATTCCAACTCATAGGGACTATCGGACAGAGTAGAACTGCCCCATAGGGTTTCCAAGGAGCAGCTGGTGGAATCGAACTGCCAACCTTTTGATTAGCAGCTGAGCTCTTAACCACTGCACCACCAGGGCTCCTAAAGCAGAGGATCAGCGAAAAAGAGGACGACCCTCAATGAGATGGGTTGACACAGTGGCTGGAACAATAAGCTCAAACACAGCAATGATTGTATGGATGGCACAGGACGGAGCAGTGTTTTGTTGTATTGTACATGCGGTCGCTATGAGTCAGAACCAACTCAGTCGCACCTAACAACAACAACACCTCCCCCGCTCCCCCTCTACTTGGATGATCCCAATTGAGAGAAGACAACCCTGGTAAAAGGAAGAGGGACTTACATCAGCTTCTTTAGGTTGCTTCTGGTGAAACTCAAAACATTGCAGAGTGTCTTCAGCCCCTCGTCTGTCACCTTATTTCCTGTCAGGCTGAGGGAGTTTAGGCTGGCAGATATAACCAGGACTTGGGAGATCTCCAGACAGCAGGTGTGGGTTAACCCACAGCAGTCCAACCTGCAGAGAGAGGCAGCATAAAGCACATCCCCAGCCACGCTGCCCCATCAATGTGGTTCTGCCTCTGTCTCTCCTCAGGAGACATTTTTTGCTGCCCCCAAAACCAGTAACCAAACCCAAACCAGTTGCTTCTGAGTTGATTCTGACTCATGGTGACCACATATGTGCAGAGTAGAACTGTACTCTATGGGGTTTTCAATGGCCGTGACCTTTCTGAAGTAGATGGCCTGTCTTCTGAGGCGCCTCTGCGTAGGTTCAAACCACCAACCTTTTTGCTAGTAGTAGAGCACCTTAACTATTCGTGCCACCCAGGCACTATTCATTTCTTTATTAAAACCAAGCCAAACCTGTCTCCTTTCCCTGTAATAAACCATAACTGTGAGTATAACAGCATTCAGCGAGTTCCATGAATCCCTTTAGCAAATTATCGGTCCTGATGGTGGTTTTAGGAACCACCTGAAATTGCAGCTGGTGTCAGAAATGAGGGCAATCTTGTATGGACTGTGCTCACTCTAAACTGTGCAGCCAGCCTAACTCTGTCACCTGCTCAAAAGCATCCCTGCTTTTGATCATGCCCTTTTTTGGGGTTTCATGGTACTTAACCAAAACCAGTTGCTGTCAAGTGAGTTCCGACTCATGGTGCCCCCCCGGTGTGTCAGAGTAAAACTGTGCTCTGTAGGATTTTCAATGGCTGTGACCTTTCAGAAGTAGATCATCGGGACTTTCTTCCAAGGTGCTTCTGGATAAAGTGGAACTGCCAACTGTTTGGTTAGTATCCAACTGCTTAACCATTTGCACCACCCAGGGACTTCTTGCTGTCTCCAAACTTTTCCCAGAGCAACCCATTTTCCTGGACTCACTGCACTTCAGCCACCTGGGCCATCTTGTTGGTCTCCAGACACTGTTTGCTCCACCTCAGGACGTGGACATCTGCTGTGCCTTCAGTTTGCAACATTGCCCCACCCAGGTCTTTATGTGGTTTGTTTCTTTCCTTCCTTCAACTGGGCCTCTTGGAGTCTTCTCTTCAGAGTAAGCTGGTTTCACTACTCTGCTTAAACTGTACTCGCCCTCTGTTGAGCATTACTTTATTCACAGCAATAGTCACCAGCCAACATTGCACATATTTATATTTGTACTTGTTTAGTGTCTGTCTTCCTCTCTGGAATGTATTCTTCCTGAGGGTAGGGTCTTGGATTGCTTTGTTCCGACGCATCTTAAGTACCTGCGATAGTGCCTAGTACATAGTAGGCACTGTAACATTTGCTGAATAGTCACTTTGAAGACTGAAGCGCACCAAACCGAAGCAAAACAACACCACAGAAGAACTAGATGGTGTCCAGCTATCACTACCGACCATTCTAATCAGGGCCACAATAGACGGACCCTAATAGAATGGGAGAAACATGTGGAACAGAACCTCAAATTACAAATCAAAACACCGAATCAAATCAAAATGGAACACCGAATCAAAACACACAGAACAAAACACAAAACAGACCTGCTAGACTAGCTGAGACTGGAGGACTCCCTGAGACTATTGCCCTGAGATACTCTTCAAACCTGAAACTGAATCTAACCCTTGTAGCTAGATAACAAATTGGTTAAAAAAATAATGAATATCACCCATAAGTACTGTGTTCCTTTAAAAAAAAAAAAAAATCACCTATATGAGACCAAATGGTCAGCAACTGCTTTAAAACCAAGATTAGAAGGTAAGGGAGCAGGAAAACTAGATTAATGGAAATGGAATAACGAGAACAGAAATAATGAGAATGTTCACGCATTGTGAAGAATGTAACCAAGATCTCTGAACAACTTGTGTTGAAATTGTTGAATGGGAACCTAAACTGCTGCGTAAACCTTCACAATAAAATATTATTTAAATCTAAATTTAATTTAAAAACACAATCAAATATTAAAAAAAAAAAAAAACAAAAAAAACAACCAAACAAAACCCATTATTCTGGATTTACCTCAAAGACTCCAGTGAACAGTTTGGGTGTTTCAATGCTCCACACACTGCCTCTATGTCTTCATTGTTCAGGTGTATGCTTTCCAAGTCAAGATATTTTAGCTCTTGGTTGATAAGAGTAGTCCAGAGATGTTGGAGACCAAGGGTAATTTGTGCATTTTTAAATCTACAGAAGAGAAAAAAAGAGAGAGAGGAATTAGACACTGGTGAGATTTAGTCATGTCCTAATTGTTTCTTCTCACCCTTCTCCTGTTCCAGCTAAACTATCTAACTGTTTTCATTTATTTGATTTAAAGTTACAAATACTTGAACACCTGTGATATACCAGGCACTAGGAATAGAGTATGAAACATTACTAACAACCTCTGCCACTGTGGAGCTTAATCTAGTTGTGGAGACATTCAACGAAGGGCTGAACAACAATTATGCTTAAGAATCAAGTGCTATGTAGTCCATTATGAATGGGATAGAACTACAAATAGATATGTAATCAAGTCCAAGTTAAAAAAGAAGTCAAAATGTCAGAACAGCGTGTTCGCGTGATACCATTTGGATAATAAAGCATCCACACACCACACCACTATTTGCTCATAATTGCATGGAAAACTTATGGAAAGTTAAAAGATGTGAAAGTGGTTAATTAAGTGGTTAATTGAGGAGGGGTCAGGGGACTTACTTTAAACCCTTTGTACTTCAGTCTCTTTACCATTATCATGTGTTACAGGTTGAATTGTATCCTCCAAAATGATATGTTCTAGCCCCAACCCCCGATACCTGTGAAAGTGACCTTGTTTGGAAACAGGGTCTTTGCAGATGTAATTACTCAGCATGAGGTCATGTTGGAGTACAGGGTCTTTGCAGATATACTTATTCAGCATGAGGTCATATTGGAGTATGGTGGGACATAATCCAATATGAGTAGCATCCTTATAAAAAGAGAAGAAAATAGACACACAGAGGGAAGATGGCCATGTGAAGACAGAGGCAGAGATTGGAGTGATGCTGCCACAAGCCAAGGATTGCTGGCAACCACCAGAAGCTGGAAGAGGCAAGAGGCAAGGAAGGATCTTCCCTTAGAGCCTTTGGAGAGAGTGAGGCTCTGCCAACACCTTGACTTCGGACTTCTAGGCTTCAGAACTGAGAGACAATTTCTGTTGTTTTAAGCCACCCAGTTTGTAGTAGTTTGTTACAGCAGCCCTAGGAAACTAATACATCATGTATTACTGTTGTTTTACAAATACAGTGAAGACACGGATTAAAGCAAAGTACAGTGTACGATGAGAGTTTAAAACAGGAGGAGAGATGGTAGGGGAGACTGCGGGGAGAGTTTTCCAAGTCAAAAATACTTAAGATAACACCTGAAAGGGGAGTGAAGGTGAACAAGGGATTGTTTTGGGATCAGCAAGCTCCTTGGCACAGTCCAGCTTAGGGAACTGCTTAGAGAAGACATAGATGTTGTAGGAAGTAGAAGAGGTTTGCAACCAAAGATTTGACCTGTTCTAGTCTTAGGCATCACATGTGCTGTATTGGGTCTTGGAGGGAAAAGTAAAGAGGAGAGCCTTTGTCTTAAATTAGAACCAGCAGTTCATTTCTTACTCCATGTACCTGGTATAGTGCATCTTAATTGTTGTTAGCTGCCTTCAAGTAGGGCCCCCAACTCATGGTGACCCCATGCACAGTGGGATTGAACCATTGTGATCCATAGGTTTTCATTGGCTGTAGATAGCCAGGCCTTTCTTCCTGGTCCATCTTAGTCTGGAAGCACCACTGAAACATGTTCAGTATCACAGTAACACACAAGCCCCCTCTGACAGATGGGTAGTAGCTGAGGAACTCAAAAGGTATTCACATATTTGTTACCTTATTTCAAATATGTTGCTGTTGAGTCGATTCTAACTCATAGTGACCCTACAGGACAGAGTAGAACTTGCCCAAGGCCTAGGAAGTCGCAGACCTTACAGACTCCAAGGCTGTAATCCTTATGGAAGGAGCTGTGGTGGTGCTGTGGTTAAGCTCATAACTACTAACCAAAAGGTTGGTGATTTGAACCTACCAGCCACTCTGTGAGAGAAAGATATGGCAGCCTGCTTCCATAAAGATTATAGTCTGGGAAACCCTATGGGCCAGTTCTATTCTGTCCTATAGGGTTCACTGTGAGTTGGAATCAAACTTGATGGCAATAGGTTTTTGAGTTTTGGTAATCTTTACAGAAGAAGATTGCCACATCTTTCTCTCGCAGAGTGGCTGATGGGTTTGAACCACTGACCTTTCAGTTGGCAGCCAAGTGCTTAAGCACTGCACCATCAGGTCTCCTTGTTACTTATTTGTTAGCCTAGAAACATTAAGAACTGATTTAAAAGGGTCCCATAATCATGCCCTTTGGTTTTGCCATTACCTTATACTCTACCATTTGCCTGAAATGAACTCCCCTTGTCTTCTCTACTAACCAACTCCTACACATCCTTCAAGACCCAGAGTAAATGAACCTGCCTCAGTAATTCCTTCACAAGGACTTTAGCCACTCCCTACTCTGTGCCGTTGAGAACTTGGTTCCTATAGCTTCTACAGCACTTATCCCATCAGAATACATTGGTGGGGTTATAGAGTGGTCTTCTCTCAGTAAATGGGGAGGGCTGTGGGAGAGGAGAGCCATAACATAGCCATATGAAGGGGTTCCCTTCAACCAGGGACCGGGCAGTCTTACATCAGAGTCTGTATTTTGCAGGTTGGATGCTTCAGCTTGGAACAGAGAATCCTCATGGCCCATTCGTTCAGAACACTGCCGCTCAGGTCGAGCAGTCTCAGGGTCTTGTGAGTGCTGAGCACCATGCAGAGGTTTTGCCAGAACACAGTAACGAGGGTCTTAGGCTTTGTCCTAGGTCAGAGGAAGAAAAACACATGCTTTCACAGGATGAGTATTAACAGAAGAGACTGCCCCAGCAATGTCTGAGGACAGAAACCAGTTTGCTAAAGCAAGGCAGGGATAGCCTTAGAGGCTTTGAAGCCAACTTCATGGTCACTACCCCATGCTTTGCTTCACTGCAGTCCTGCCCACCCTGCCCCATGAATATTTTGATACCTGAGGGGGTATGCTAGAATGATTAGGAGCCTCCAGGTCTTGAATCAGATTTGTTTTTAAACTCTAGCTCCCATTGGCTGGGCAAGTCTGAGGGAGTGAGTGGTTTTTAAAAGAAAACAAAACAAAATCAGTTGCCATCAAGACAACTCCAACTCATGGCGACCCCATGTGTATCAGGGTAGAACTGTGCTCCATAGGGTTCTCAGTGGCTGATTTTTCAGAAGTAGATCACAAGGCGTTTCTTCTGAGGTGCCTCTGGGTGGATTCAAACTGCCTACCTTTTGGCTAGTAGCTGAGTGCTTAACCATTTGCACCACCCGGGGACTCCTTGTAGTTGCTATTTTATCAAGGTCTTAGCATGTACCAGAAACCCTGGTGGAGTAGTGGTTAAGAGCTACGGCTGCTAACCAAAAGGTTGGCAGTTCAAATCCACGAGGTGTCCCTTGGAAGCCCTATGGGAGAGTTCTACTCTGTCCTATAGGGTTGCATGAGTCGGAATTGACTCGACGGCAATGGGTTTGATTTTTTGGTAGCATGTACCAGGCACTGTGCTGGACTCCTTCCAAGTCAGAGTTTGATGTAGTTCTAGATCCATGAGACCTGTTGCTGTTGAGTCAATTCTGACTCATAGCGACCCTATAGGACAGAATAGAACTGCCCTATAGGGTTTTCTAGGCTCCCTTTTTTACGGAAACAAACTGCCACATCTTTCTCCTGCAGAGCTACTGGCGGGTTTGAACCACCGACATCTTGGTTAGCAGCTGAGTGCTTAACCACTGTGCCATCTATTTCCTCCATTTTATAGATAGCCATAGAGCTAGTGAGTTGCTGAGTTGAAATGCAAAACCAGGTTTGCCCAATGCTTTCTTACCAGTAAACACGAGTGGTTGATTTAGTTCTGATAGTATTAGTAGCCAATATTTACATGTTGATTAAGTGCCAGGATCCCTGGTGGCACAATGGTTAAGTGCTTGGCTACTAACCGAAAGGCTGGTGGTTCAAATCCACCCAGTGGCTCTGCAGGTTATAGCCAAGGGAACCCTACGAGGACAGTTCTACTCTGTCATGTGGGTTCGCTAAGTGGGGTCGTTATGTGTTGGAATCAACTTGATGGTACCCAACAACAACTAAGTGCCAGGCACAGTTCATAAGTGCTTCAGCTATATAAGCTCGTTTTCTCCTAACAACTCAGTAGGTAGATGCCATTACCTCCATATTACAGATGAGGAAACTGAGGCACAGAGCAGCTGAGAAACTTGCCGAAGGCCTAGGAAATCGCAGACCTGGATTCAAAGACCAGCAGGTGGGCAGTGATGTGTACCATTGGCTGGTGTACCATTCTGGGTGGTGGTAGGATGGACATTCAGACAGTCAAGCAAAGCACATTTTCTAGACCCGCTCCATTCAGTACAGTAAGTACTAGCCACGTGTGGTGAGTCAAACTTAGTTAGAATGGAATAAAATGAAAGATTCTGTTCCTTGCTTGCTTCAGCCACATCTGAAGTACTCAACAGCATATGTAGCTAGTGGCTGCCATACTGGACAAGGCATAATAGAACAGTTTCATCATCATAGAAAGTTCTATTGGATAACAATGCTCTAGACTATTCTAGACAAGCAAGGCATAAACCTGAAAGATCACATTGATAGGAGGAAATTTAAAAAAAATACACATCCCCAGGTGCCAATCCCCCAGATTTTCCTTTGATAATCTTGGGTTGTTATGTGCAGCTGAGTCGATTCCAACTCATAGCAACCCTATATGACAAGGTCTTTTCTCCTGCGGAGCCGCTGGTGGATTGGAACCACCCACCTCTTGGTTACCAGTCAAGCATTTCATCGTTGGCCACCAGGTATTGGGTGGGGCCTAGTGTTGTGAAAAAGCAGCCCTGGTGGAGCAGCGGTTAAGTGCTCAGCTGTTAACTGAAAGGTTGGCGGTTCAAACTCACCAGGTGAAAGAAATGGCAGTCTGCTTCCATAAAGATTACAGCCTTGGAAACCTTAGGGAGGAGTTCTACTCTGTCACACAGAGTTGCTATCAGTCAGAATTGACTTGATGGCAAACAACAACAATAGTATTTTGAAAAAGCTTATCCAGGTATTTACAGTGAGTGAGTTCCAGGTTCTGTTATTTTAAACAGCTGGATGGCATTTGGGTGATTCATCCTAAAACAATTATCTGCGATGCTGACATTTTGGGAAATAACGCCAAATCTCAGCAGTAGGCATATGAGGATCAGTAGCTTGTTTAGAGTGAAATTGCAGAGGTGAGGTCCTCACCTTTGGAGACTTTCGAGCCCTGCCTCGGTGACCTCATCTGTTGAAAAGATCTCTTTGATATCTAGCCGAATCCTCTGCAAATACTGGCAACACTGGAGACAGAAAGAAGATACTAACAAGTCCATTTGCTGGTTAATTGGAAGCCATACTTCTTGGAAATTGTTCAGTGCCAAGCGGACAAATTCTTCATCTTGGGCCTCAAAAAGACAGTGGAAGGCGTCCAGGAAATCCAGTGGTGAGGTGGTGTTGGCCTGTTCACCTAACAGAGAGACCCACCGCAGAAGCTCCTGCTTTATCAGCAGAGGGACACCATGGCCAAGCAGGGCCTCCAGCTTCCTCACCAACTCTTTGTTCATGAGGCCAAACAAGAAACGCTTCATCTGAAGCAAGTGGGGGTTGAAGCCAACTTGTTGCAGCTTCATCAGGCTCCTTGCATTCTCAATGGACAGCAAGGATGGATCATGCTTTCTTTCCAGTCCCTCTAGAACATAGTACAAGGCAGCACAAAACTCCTGGAGGCTGCAGTGAAAGAAAGTGTAACAGCCCTCACACAGGACATCCTTGGGAAGGATGGTCATGTGAAACAGAGTGGAGAGTTCAGACTCCTTCAGCCCATGAACACCCAGGTCCTCACTGCAGAACACAAGCTTCATATTCCACACACCCTCCACAGCCATCCGGCACAAGTTCTTCAGGACAGCTTTTTCTTCCCCCTTGAGACAGCACCAGAGGTCATCTCGTGGTGTGAACTGATGGAACATGAAAGTAGCACACAAGCTCGTGAGAGTTTGGCAAATTGGGGGCGCATCCTTTCCTGCCGCATACTGCAGCTGCAGAGCCACACTGGTTAGCTGACACACGTTGTAAACCTGGCACTCATCAAAGAGCCGGCTGTTGTTCAACACTGATGTTAAGATTGGCCTTTTTTGTTGCTCATCCGCAATGCTCTGGAGGATAAACTGGGTCCTCAGTTCCGCCGGGATTCCCCCAACAAATAGATAATGGGGAGATACCACCATGGATGTAAGCTTCCCTATGCCCACATCTCTGACTGTGATTAGTAAGGAGGACTGTGGGAGCAGGACTTTCTTCAGCAGGCTGCGTATCAGGACAGACATGGGTTGCTTCTCAGCCCAGTTTTTACAGAGCTTCTCAGGACAATCTTGGAGGGCAAAGTCCAGGTCATCAAAACCATCAATGACAAACAGGAGCCTCTCTGGTTGGGACATAATCTCCGTCACTGGCGCGCAGGAGTCTGGCCACTCCATGGAAATTAACTCGGCCAAACTTCCCTCCTTCATGTGTTGTATCTCTCTAGCATGGAGAAAGAAGACATAGGAGAACATGCCCTGGTAGAGTTGTCCTTGTGCCCAGTGGAGCATGATCCTTTTGGTCAAAACCGATTTCCCGGTGCCCGATTTTCCATGAAGAACCACAGTGCGAGGCTGGCCCCTCCTGTGTGAAATGAAAATATCAACCAGACTTTGTGTTTGTGACCAGTCAGTAGCAATTTCTCCGAAACCGTGACATACATTCAGCTCCCTGGTGAATTTTGTCATTACATGAGCCCTGTAGTCCCATTTGTCACCTACATGATCAGGAGAGGGTAGAAGAAAAACAGGAAACAAAGTTAAAGAAAGTCTAGATTTTAGGTAAAAAAAAAAAAACAGTCAGTGGATCCCGTGTCAGATGGTTATGTACATGGGTCTTCTATGGCTCAGTAGTCAAGTGCTTGACTGCTAACCGAAAGGCCTGTGGTTCAAACCTATCCAGCCACTCCAAGGGAGAAAGACGTGATGATCTGCTCCCCTAAACATTACAGACTAGGAAACCCTATGGGGCAGTTCTACTCTGTCACGTGGGGTAGCTGTGAGTTGGAATCAAGTCGAGGGCACCCAACAAGAACAATTTGTTATTTCTTAGCAATGTGCTGCTGAGCAACTCCCTCCTTCGTAAGTTTATGACCGTTCTACAAAATAGTCTGTCATTAACTTTGTCCCTGTAACCTGATTTCTCTTTTCAGCACTTAATACCTGGTAATGTTACATATTTTTGTTAGCCTATTGTAGAGTAGAAGGAACTCTGGTGGCACAGTGGTTAAGCTCTCAGCTGTTAACCGAAAGGTCAGTGGTTTGAACCCACCCACTGCCCCATGGGAGAAAGATGTAGCAGTCTGCTTCTGTAGAAGATTTAGAGCCTTGGAAACCCAATGGGGCAGTTCTGCTCTGTCCTATAGGGTCGCTGTGAGTCAGAATTGACTGGACAGCAACAGGTTTGGATTGTAGAGTAGACTCTAAGCAGGGACTTTCTTACTGTTACTTTGTTGGTATTGACAACAGTGCCTGGCAAGCTGTAGCTCTCTCTTAAATGAATAATCTCTGGCAAAGTCTTGCATGTGGTCACTGAGAGACAGAGAACTTTGGGGAAACTAAGGCTGTGTGCACTGTGGTCAGGTTAAGTTCTAGACCTGTAGAACAGGCAGGCACCTCCAGTTCTACCCCCAGGTTACTTGGGGGAAAGTCTTAGTTATCTAGTGCTGCTGTAACAGAAATACCACAAGTAGGTGGCTTTAATAAACAGAAATTTATTTTCTCACAGTTTAGGAGGCTAGAAGTCTGAATTCAGGATGCTGGCTCTAGGGGAAGGTTTTCTCTGTTCTCTCAGGAGAAAGGTCCTTGTCTCTTCTGAGTTTCTGCTCTTGGGTGATCTTCATGTGGCTTGGTATTTCTCTTCCCCCATATCTGCTTGCCACTTGCTTGTTTGATCTCTTTTATAGCTCAGAAGAGATTTACTTAAGAGACACCCGACACTAATACTGTCTCATTAACATAACAAAGAAAACCCATTCCCAAATGGAATTTTAACCACAGGAGGAATTGACTCCACGACGGCAAGAGGTTTGGTTTTTGGTTTTAATGCTATGCCATCTTTTGAATACACTAAAACCCACCAAATTATACACTTTAAAAGAGTAAACTTTATGGTATGTGAATTACAGCTCAATAAAAAATACTGAAGCAGCATTTCTTCTCAGAAGCCTGCTTTCAATTCCTCGACTGGTCACCTCCCAATTCACACAACCACAGCACCTTGGATCTCCTCTTCTTACATCTTTGTTTGACTTAATTAACATATAACTCTAGGCTATAAACCCCATGAAGGCAAGAAATGATTTTTTTATCACTATATTCCCATCACAGTACTTCAAATGATAAGTATTCACTAAACATGGGTTGATAGAAGGAATTAAGAAAGATCGCAACTATTTTAAGTAATTTTGAACAAAGCTCTTGACTGCTGTTGGCTCTATGTTCAGCATCTGTCAAACAAGCTTGTATTCAATGCCCCAGTTGACTAGAATTATGGGTTTGTTGGAATAGATCTTCATAAAGACTGATGAGATAATCACAGAGAACACACACGGCTCTGTCTAGGGCTCTGAGTTCAAGGGTTCTTATGGAAGGACCCGACACCAGAGACCAATGAGGATGAATGGAGAAAAAGTAGACACCCTGCCACCTACACACCACAGCCTTCTCTTTCACACAACTCCCTTCAAGGATGGAAAATCCCAGTGAATAAGATTTATTTACCTTGTTCTTCTATTATCTCTGCTGCTGTGGTCCCATATTGTTCCATAGCTTGTGGAATTTCTGCAGAAGAGAGGGGAAAAGAATAAACTTGAGCATACTTGCAGAAATTATCCAAATCAGGTTATGTCAGAAACACACAAAACCCCTGAGATTTGTGATTCCAGCTTTCATCTTCTAGGCCAGTTTGGAACATGGCAACCACTGGCTCAGCCAGAGGGGCAGAGTTCACTAGAACAGTGAGTACTAGATCCAAAATAAAAGATGTGAATTCTGGTCTTATTTCTGTTCTTTATTCTTTGAAGAGTCTTGGGCAAGTCACTAAAATGATAGGGTGAGACCTAGTGGTTAAGAGCTAAGGATCTGGAGTCAGACACAGGATTCAAATGTGAATTGTTACTACTTGTGAAATCCTACTTAGTCAAATTACTAGACTCACCTTGTCCTGTCCCCTTCTTACATTCCCTCCCTTACCTTACCTGGCCTTCCCCCTGTTGCCCTTACCTTGCCTTACCTTACCTGGTCTTTGCTGCCTTTACTTGGCCTTACCTCACCTGGCCTTCCCCCCACCCCCCTTACCTTGCCTTACCTGGCCTTTGCCCCCCTTACCTTGCCTTACCTGGCCTTTGCCCCCTTTGCCTTACCTTATCTGGCCTTCCCCCCACCCCCCTTACCTTGCCTTACCTTACCTTCCCGGGCCTTTGCCCCCTTTACCTTGCCTTAACTTACCTGGCCTTTGCCCCACCCCCTTTACCTTGCCTTACCTTGCCTTATCTTACCCAGCCTTTGCCCCCTTACCTTGCTTTGCCTAGCCTTACCTGGCCCTTCCCCCCTTACCTTGCCTTGCTTTACCTTGGCTTTCCCCGTTTGCCTTGGCCTTTCACCCCTTATTTTAGCCCCTTTTACTCTCTTAACATTTTACTAAATTGCTAATTGAGGTGTTATAACAGTGAGCAGAGTGGGTGGGGACTGGACTAGAACAAACACTGGACTCTTAAGATGAGTTAATCATTAACTCTAGGTCTGACTCAAAGTATGGCTTTTATCAAGTCATCCAATGAGGCAGCATAGCCTAGTGGTTAATTTCGCAGGCACTGGAGTCAGGTCTCCTGGGCACAACCCTGGCTCTTCCTCAGTTAAGCCATGTAAATTTGGGTGTGCCATTTAGCCTCTGGCTCTCAGTTTTGTTACTAGACAGCTGGAATGACCATTACTATCACATAGGGTTCTTTTGAGAGTTATGATATAAAACACTTGGCACGGAAGTGGTAGCTATTGGGTATGGTGATACTTTAGAGGGGTTTTCCAAAGTGGCTGATGATCAGACACCCACTTTTGGCATTTTTGTATTGGTCCTACTGCCAAGATTAGTCTGTTAGTGCCTCTATTTCGTACCAATTCTAAGCAGCCATTTAGTAATCTATGAAAGCTATAAGATGCAATTTTATCACTTGAAGGGCAATAACATATAGCACTCACACTGTCAAGCCTAGACTTCCACTTAACTTTGAGAAATGGATAGCCTTTGGGATTCTGAGATCTATAACTCAGAAATCAATTCCTCAGACTTTGGCTTTCGGGATGCTTTCCTATGCACAGCCTGAACAAAGTTGCATCAAAATGAAGCTGATAGACTCTGGGTCCTAGATTTCATGGCCAACACCGACTGCTGGAAGGTTAGCAAGATACTAGGGACAAATAGGGTAAATGCTATCTATACAAGCCTGCATTTCCCCCTACAGGTTTTGCCTTTGCTAGTTTGATCTTATTTTGTTGGTTTGTCTCCCCTCTCTCCTGCTGAAGTGTAAGCTTCATGAATGCTGGGAATTTACATGTTCTCTGTCCATGAATGTATCACAAGTACACAGAACTTTGCCTGGTCACGTAGTCAGTGATCTAATGTTTGGGGAATTGTATTGAATCTGGCCTCATGCCATTTGGTTATCCCCACTGAAGCCTCCAAGACAGATCATTATGAGGGAACTGTTCAAATAGGAATATAGAGATGATGGAAACTCCGTGAGTTCTAACGAAGCTTTAAGACCACAGAGTTCTAGACTAGGAATACAGAAGACCAGAATTACCAGATCTTCAGAACCTATGTGGCCAACAAATGATAGGATACAGCAGACAGTCCAGATCCTTCCTTTGTCCCTAGATTTGCCCCTGGACTATCAGAAGTAATGGTTCTAGTCCTAGACGTACTGTGAATTATTCACCACGTGGCCTTAATCCCACCCCTTCTTCCACTACCTCTACACTCACCTGGCACTTCTCCCAGCCTTGGTCCTGGATAAGTCTCTATTTGTTCGTAATCCTCTGCAACAGAGAGCAGAAGGGAGAACTGTATCAACAAAGTCATAGGAATTACCCAAACCAGGGATGAGAGCATCCCCTCCCAAATTACTGAGGGAAACCAAGGCCAGCTCCAGGATCTCACAGTTTATGCCACAGCTAGCTTGTTAACAGAGAAAGTGGAGTCAGACCTTCATATGCCATCAACGCAGTGAAGCAGAGACTTATAGTAAAGAGTGCTCTGGTTTTGAACTTATAAATGTACATTTTAGTCCCACTTGCTGTTTATCCACTGTGTGGTCTTCGGAAAGTTACATGATGAGGCAGTATATTATGGTTAAGGAGCCTTGGTGGCACAGTGGTTAAGTGCTTGCTGCTAACCTAAAGGTCAGTAGTTTGAATCCGCCGGTGGCTCAGTGGGAGAAAGAGGTGACAGTCTGCTTCCGTGAAGATTTCAGCCCTGGAAACCCTATGGAGTAGTTCTACTCTGTCCTATAGGGTCACTGAGAGTCGGAATTCAACTAGATGGCAATGGTTGTATTACAGTTATTAAGAGTTATCTTTTGAGAGTCATCCTAAACACCTCTCTTGAACTTCAGACCAAATTAGTCAACCATTCATTTGATGTCTGTGAGTTATCCAAATGGAGGCATCTTCAACACTGACCGCTCTTCCCACATATATTAGCTGCAAAACAACATCTCTTCTAATGTTTCCTGGGATGAGATATTAGAACCCCATCCATCCCCTTTCTTATGCCAGAAACTTGGGTATCATCCTTGATACCATATTCTCCCTGTACATGTAGCCCTCAAAAGCCATGTGTCTACTTTCTAAACATCTTCCAACTCCATTTCTGCTTCTTTCTCTAACTGCCATCATCACCCTAGTCCATCCAGACCAACTTCATTTCTCCTTTGTTGTTATTGTTGTGTGCCATTGAGGCTATTTTAGACTCATGGCAATCCCATGTGACAGTAGAACTGCCCCATAAGATTTCCTAGGCTGTAATCATTATGGGAACAGATTGTCAGGTTTTTCTGCCACGGAGCCGCTTGGTAGGGTTTGAATCATCAACTTTTTGGTTAGCAGCTAAGCACTTAACCGAGATAAGAAATGCTCCTCATTTCTCCCCTAGCATGCTCGGATAGCCTCAAAAATGAACTACCCACATCTCTTCATGACTCCTGGACCACTCAATACCTCAGGGAGCAGTGATTTTTCCAAAAATGGAAATTGTTTTTTCTTTTTTTTTTTTTTTAACTTCCACCCTCTTTGACATTGTTTATTTGCTTATGGTTCCTATTGAAATTATTTTCAAGATCCTGTGTAATCTGACTTCTAGTCTATCTCTTTGGCATCCCTGGGTGGTCAAATGGTTAAGCACTCAACTACTAGCTGAAAGGTTGGTGGTTTGAAGCCACCCAGAGGCGCTCAGAAGACAGGCTTGGCAACCTGTTTCTGAAAGTTCACAGCCTGGAAAACCCTATGGAGCAGCTCTACTCTGACACACGTGGGGCAGCCATGAGTCAGAGTTGACGGCAACTAACAACAACAGTCCATCTCTCCAGCTTCATCTCTCCTGTCACATTTCCACCTATTTTCCACAGCCTACAGAAGACCTTTGTTTCAAGCTCCAAAAGCTTTATCATGCTGTTCCCTCTTGCTCAGCATGTTCTTCTCGCCCGTATCTAATTAACCTAATTATTTTTCTTCATTTTTATCTCAGCCTAAAGCTTACTTCTTCTAGGAAATAATTCTAGACTTCACTTCCATTTAGTCTGGAGTAGGACTCACTTTTACATTTTGCCATACCATCTGTTTTTAAGATTGCCCATTTCTCTCTCTTGCCTACTGCACTGAAAGCTATAACATTGCTGGCACGACACAGGAGAATTTAAATGTATGCCACTCAGAAACCCGTTGCTGTCAATTCCAACTCACAGCGACCCTGTAGGACAGAGTAGAACTGTCCTAGGGTTTCCTAGGGTGTAATCTTTACAGGAGCAGATCACCAGGTCTTTTTCTCCCAGAGCCGCTAGGTGGGTTGAACCACTTTCCTTTTGTTTAGCAGCTGGGTGCTTAACCATTGCACCAACAGGGTTCATATACACATAAAACCCATTGCTGTTCAGTCGATTCTGTGACAGAGCAGAACTGCCCCACAGGTTTCCAAGACTGTAATCTTTATGGAAGCAGATTCCAGGCCTTTCTCCCATGGAGCAGCTGGTGAGTTCAAACCAATGAGCTTCTGGTCAACAGCTGAGCACTTAACCACCACACCAAAAGGGCTCCTTAAATATATGCTAAGTGAATGTTAAATAATGAGTTTCATCTTTGTGACTCATTAGCACATGAATTTGGTTAATTTATATAACGTGGCAGAGCCTCTATTTTAGCTTCTACCATGGGGAAGTTATTTCATTGGGTAGGTATAAGAACCAATGATAGGGCACCTGAAGAGTTCAATGTAGTGCCTTTAGTGCAATGTAGCTCTCATTTTAACTTTCTAACCCTCATTTCCTCTGAATAAGGCCAACAGGGCTTTTTCAAAGCTCAAAAGGGGTAAAAATAAATTTAAAAAACCGCAAAACTCAAACCTGTTGCTGTCAAGTTGATTCCAACTCATAGCTGTAGAACTGTTCCACAGGGTTTCCAAGGCTGTTATCTTTACAGAAACAGACTGCCACATCTTTCTCTGGCAGAGTGGCTGATGGGTTCAAACCACCCACCTTTCTGTTGGCAGCTGTGTGCTTAACCACTGTGCCACCAGGGCTCCTCTGCCAAATACTTAGCCAAAAACCAAAACCAAACCCATTGCTGTCGAGTTGATTCTGACTCACAGCGACCCTGTATGACAGAGTAGACCTGCCCCGTAGGGTTTCCTAGGCTGTAATCTTTACGGAAGCAGATTGCCACACCTTTCTCCCAAGGAGTCACTGGGTGGGTTCAAACCACCACCCTTTCGATTAGCAGCTGAGCACTTAACCGCTGTACCACCATGGCTCCTTCAGAAGGGGTAGCTGCTCTTAAAATCCTTTGCAGTACTATAAAAATTATAGCTGCTGAGCTACATCTAGGTGACTTTGATGTGTAGGCATGAGGTACCTGTGGTCTCTAGGGCCAGTTTGGCTGTTCAGTGTTGGGACTCCTTTTCCCTCTAAGCCTTGAGTCCAGAGTTGAAGAGCAGAATTTATTCTGATAAAGGAGAGTGATGATTTTTCTACTACCTTTCTCCTAAATATCCTAAGATAACCACATATCTGATCTGTGTCCATTGCTATGATTTGGACACCAACAGTCTGAGTAGGGTAACTTCTTAGTGTCTTGATCTTCAGTCCCTCAGCCCGGGGCCAGGAAGGAAGGGAGATACCAATTATGCAATGATCACTGTGCTCTCAGTTAACAAATGAGGCTTTGTTCATCACTTCCCATACATCATCTTCCTGAATCTGTGCAACAGCACGTGTAAGTAGCACAGTTCCTGTTCCTAAGATGTGAACCCAAAGGTCAGAACAGGAGCCAACTTGCCCAAGGTCATGCAGATAAGCAAGTGGTAGCTCCAGAGCCCAAGCTTGGTATTTAATGACTCTAAACTCTATCAATTTCACCTTCTGTCCAGAAAAAAACAAAAAAAATATGCATTGCTGTCAAGTTGATTCCAACTCACATTGACCCTATGCATTACAGAGTAGAACTGAACTCCATAGGGTTTTCTTGTCTGTAATCTTTGCATAAGAAGATCACCAGATCTTTCTTCCATGGAGTTGCTGGGTAGGTTCAAACTGCCAACTTTTAGGTTAGCAGTTGAACACAAGCCATTTGTTCCACCCAGGGACGTTTCTGTCCAGATAGAGCGTCCTTATACTCATTTATGGAGCCCTGGTGGTATAGTGGTTAAGAGCACAGCTGTTAACCAGAAGGTTGGCAGTTCGAATCCACCAGCCACTCCTTGGAAACCCTATGAGGCAGGGTAGTTCTACTTTGTCCTATAGGATCGCTATGAGTCAGAACAGACTCGTTGGTGATGGGTTTTGTTCTGTTTTGGTATACCCATTTATTCATTGCTTCGTAGGCTAGAGATTACACTAATTTCTAGCCAGTGAGGATGATCAGTGACCTATTCCCCATGGTTCAGACTCACATGGTAGAGTTGGACTCAATCAAACAATGATGCCTTCTTCATCCCCATGAAAACTTGTGGCCACTCCCTTCCCCCTCCCCCTAGATTAGCCCTAAGGCTTACTCACTTTTCAGTGCATTCTTTGCTATCTCAGAGAGTTCTGACAATTTCATCTTTTCAAAGACATTAATGGATATCTCCCAGATAAGAGGTCCCATATAATATTCATGCAACAGGGAGGCTAGACATTCCACATTGGCATTCTTCACTTCAGACCATGGAAGAGAGCCCTTCATCCGTTCTGAAGTTTCTTCCTTTAGGAATTCCTTAAACATCTCAAACTCATCTTTGTCCAGCTCCATGAAACACCAGTGCAGCCCATAAATGGAAAAGGAGGGCGATTTGACTTCTTCCAACATGACTCAAGGCTGAAAGCTTCAGTTGTGGTGGAAAAGTAGATACTTTGGTAATATGAAACAGCAGAACCTGTGGGCAGAGTGACAACGCTCAAAAGAGAAATCTTCCAGCAAATTCTCAAGTTCATACAACTAACCTAGATGAGCAATATTCTTTTCCCAGTTGTGAAATGTACTAACAGAAGCTCAATACCAATTCTTCATAGACTTAACACTAAACTGAGTTGATAGGCCATCAAGTCAATTCCAACTCATAGTGGCACTGTAGGACAGAGTAGAACTGCCTGATAGGATTTCCAAGGCTGTAATCTTTACGGGAGCAGATTGCAGGTTTTTTCTATAGGGGTACTATGAGTCAGAATTGACTCAATGGCCCACAACAACAGCATACTCAAGGAAGAAGCCCTGGTGGTACAGTGGGTGAGCACTTAGGTTCCAACCAACCTTTTGGTTAGCAGCCATCAGCAGCTCCATGGGAGAAAACACCTGCGATCTGTTCCCATAAAGAATACAGCCAAGAAAACCCTATGGGGCACGCTCTATTCTGTCACATGGGGTCGCTATGAGTCAGAATCGACTTGGTGGCACACAACAACATACATACATACCCAAGGAAATGAGCAAATAGGATCCCACCAGTTACACTTTTTTTTAGGTCGGTTGATTCCTACTGAGCCCATTACACAATAGAGTTGCATAGACAGTTTATGTGTAAAAATAAATGAATACTTGCAAATAATATATGATCAGGGACTTGTATCTAGAATATATAAAAACTCTTATAATAACGAAAAGGCAATTAACCCAATTAAAAATGGGGAAAGGATCTGAATAGACACTTACCCAAAGATGATATACAAATGGCCAATCCACATCCAAACCAAACCCATTGCTGTCGAGTCAGTTCTGACTCATAGTGACCCTGTAGGTCAGAGTAGAACTGCCGCATGTGTTTCCTAGGCTGTAAACATTTACAGAAGCAAACAGCCACATCTTTCTCCTGTGGAGCAGCTGTGGGTTTGAACCGCAGACTTTTGTGTTAGGAGCCTAGCCCTTTAACCACTGCACCACCAAACAAAAAAAAACCAAACTCGTTGCCATCGAGTAGATTCTGATTCATAGCAACCCTATAGGACAGAGTCGAACTGCCCCATAGGGTTTCCAAGGAGCAGCTGGTGGATTCGAACTGCTGACCTTTTGGTCAGCAGCCAACCTCGTAACCACCGTGGCAAATAAGTACATGAAAAACATGTCCAATATCATTAACCGTCAGGGAAATGTAAATCAAAACCATAATGAGATACTACTTCACCTCCACTAGGATGGCTGTGCTCAAAAAGACAGCGTTGGTGAGGATGTGGAGACATTGGAACCCTCACGTGCAGTTGGTGGGAATGTTGCACCTGGGTGGTAAAAACAACACTCGATTGCTAAACAAAAGGTTGGCCCCTAGAAGAAAGGCCTGGTGATCTATTTCTGAAAAATCAGCTACTGACAGCCCTATGTAGCACAGTTCTACTCTGACACACATGGGGTCGCCAGGAGTCACAGTCAACCCGAGGGCAAACGTTTGTGTTGTTACATTGTTGGTGGAAGCATAAATGGTATCATCTCATTGGAGTGGAACTTGGCACTATCTATCCAGTTTAAATGCGAGTATTATTAGATGCAGCCTTGTTTGCAACAGCAAGACTGCAGACCACTTAAGTGTTGATCAATAATAGGTGGGTGAATTCATACACTGCAGTCCCCTGTATCCTTGAAAATGCTCAGCGATCAGCATAAAATGTGCCTCAGTTTGTTAAGACTCACTCAGCCTAGTCTATCTGTGGGTGATGAACAGGAAATGGCTGACACTGGTTGACGGGGCTGGGGAAACAAAGTGGGGCCAAGGAAACACTAAATCTCGCTCTACACCTTGTCACATTGCTTGCTTTGTCCAACATTAAAATGTGTCTCCCATTAAACAACCATTTTAGCTGAAGCCCAAAGAAGTAAATGTACCTCATCAAAACAATGGAAGGAAATTGGTCTTACCATTACCCATCTATGAAAGATCAGACAAAAAAAAAAAAAAAAGATGAACAAGGTTAACATAATTGAAGAAAAATGGAAGTTTATGTGCTAGAGTACTCAAAATACAGAACCCTAGCAAGAAAACAAGCTTATCTGCACATTCCTATCTATTATTACGAAAAATACTGACCACATTAGTGGTTCAAGGAAAAACACTTATTTCTAAGAGCAAGTTAAAAAAGCTACATCCTAACCACGGAACAATGAAAAGTCCTAGTTCTTTTCTAATTTAAGATGAAAACAACCCGACCACATGGAGACTGGAAAAAAAAAAATCTTTTCAACTGTTGGGTTAAGCAATTACATTAAGGTTATTTAAAAGAGAAAAATTACAGGGTTTCTTTCTGGGGTGATGACATACTTCTGGAACTAGACAGAGGTGACGGTTGCACAACATTGTGAATATACTCAGTGCCACTGAGTGGTACAATTTAAAATTGCTAAAATGGTAAGTTCTGTTTCGTGTATTATGCTGTTGTTGTGTGGCTTTGAGTCATTTCCAACTCCCAGCAACCATGTGACAGAGTAGAACTGCTCTATATGGTTTTCTTGACTGTAATCTTTATGGAAGCAGATCACCTGTTCTTTCTTCCGGGTAGTGGTTGGTGGGCTCAAACTTCCAACCTTTCAATTAGCAGCCAAGCACTTAACCATTTAGCTACCAGGGCTCCTTATGTGTATTTTACCACAATAATAATAATAAAGAATGGACTTAAGATTGCCGTATCTAAACACTTTCCTATACACACAACTTGAATTACACATTTGCCTTATGTCACCAAACAATCCACTGAGTAGAACTGCCCATAAGGTTTCCAAGGCTGTAAATCTTTATGAAAGCAGACTGCCACATCTTTCCCCAGAGTGTCTGGTGGGTTTAAACCTCCGAACTTTCAGTTAGCAGCCAAGCGCTTAACCGCTGCACCACCAGGGCTCCTTGTTGTAGGGATTGCTGGAACAGTACAAGAGAATCATGGCTGCTAAGGGCAACAGACAAACCTCAGTGGTAAGTGAAGAAATCAGTAGGGAATAGGGAAAATCGTTCTAGTTTTAGGATGAGATGACTGAACAAGTTCTCAAATACTAGTGCTAAGAAGAAATAAAGGTAGGAGAAGCAAAGAGAAAGAACCATTAGTACTTAATCTTTCCTAAGTACCTTCTTGAGGAGCCCTGGTGGGTGATCTCCTTCCATGAAGATTACAGCCTAGGAAACCTTCTGGGGCAGTTCTACTCTATTCTGTATGGTCGCTATGAATCTGGATCGACTCAAAGGCAATTTTTTTTAACATACCTTCTTAGGTGATTTACATAATCTCATTTAGTCTTTATACAAACATGTTGTTGTTGTTAGTTGCCATCAATTGATCCCGACTCGTGGCGACCCCATGTGTGCAGAGTAGAACTGCTCCATAGGGTTTTCAAGACTGTGATCTTTCAGAAGCAGATGGCCAGGCCTTTCTTCCAAGGCACCTCTGGTGAATTTGAACCGCCAACCTTTTGGCTAGTAGTTGAGCACTTAACCATTTGTGCCACCCAGGGACTGAGTTCAACTTTACAGAGTTGAAAGTGAAGCTTCTCTGAAGTTGAATAGCTTCCTCTATATTTCAGGAAAAAGAATTTTAATGCACAGCTACCTGGTTGTAATGCCTTGTCTTTAACACCGCATCACAGAGTGGGAATCAAGCTCAAAAGATGGGACTAGAGCCCAGGGAGAGGGATTAACTTGGGATAGGCAGACATACACTTTCACCTATAATATTGGTAAGTGACAAGAACAACTGGGGTGGAGGTAAAGATGTGACTCCAACTCAGGGAGGCTTGTAGGCTAGAGGGATATAAGTTAAGACTGGTGGTCAAGGTTATTTTCTGGGGATGAATGACTTACCCAAGCTTTCACTTTGTCTTCCTCCTTCCTCTATACTCCCTTCCTTTCCTGGTACACCTGTCCCCACAGGTGTCTTGAATGATTCAGTAGAAGCAGTTATGATTACAGGGCTTGAAATTAATTAGACCCAGGTCTAAATATTAAATCTGACACTGCCCCAGGCAAGCCATTTAAGTTATATGTGACTCAGTTTCCTCACCTGTTAACTACGACAAATACTCCTACGATTATATAGCACTTCAATAACTGTAAGTCATAGTTGGTGTTAGGTGCTATTGAGTCAAATCAGACTCATGAGACCCTACAGGTCAGAGTAGAACTGCCCCATAGGGTTTCCTAGGCCACAATCTTTACAGGAGCAGATAGCCAGGTCTTTCTCCTGCAGAGCTTCTGGGTGGGTTTGAACAACAGACTTTTTGGTTAACAGCTGAGTGCTTAACCATTGTGCTTCCAAGTCTTCTTAAATCATACTTAGCATATTATTAGCACAATTAACACAGTAACACCCCTGAACTCCCACCAAATGTGGCCCAGACATTAGCAAATCTTGACCTCAGAGTCACAGAACCCCTACTTTGTCCTTTATTTTAGATCTAGAGTTGGAGAGGGTGAGGGACCCACCTAAATTCCCCGAACAGTTGAGCTTTGGAGGTGGACCTTTTCAGCAAAATGGGGAAATTATTTCATTCACTCAAAGGGTCCTTTGGTCCCTGAGCTCTGACTAGCTTAAAGGGACAAGGTGGGGGCACACAGTGCTGTTGTTGTGTGCCATTGAGTCAATACTGATTCATAGTGACACCATGTGACACAGTAGAACTGCATCAGTGGGTTTCCTAGGCTGTAATCTTTATGGGAGCAGATTATCAGGTCTTCTCCTACAGAGCTGCTGGGGGAATTCCAACTGTTGACCTTTTGGGTACTGTGTAGGACCACACAATAGGGCACAACAAATAGGTTCTTAATCTGGAATGGAGAAAGAAAGAGGAAAGAGAAGCTCTGGGAACAAGACCAATAGGAAGAACTCACCGACCGGACTCCTCACCTCCAAGATTAAATCCCACCCCAGGGCAAACTGGCAACCAGAGTGAAGGAAAAAAAAAAAAAAAGGC